TATATATACTGCTGATGATGACATATATAAACTTTCTAGCTGTGATCTCAGTATTGCTGTTATTACAGAAATGTCTGAAATTGGCGCGACCAATCGACATGTTCATGCTGTGTCGAGCTGTGATCTTCAGCCTAGCCCGTGAACATCTTGGGCTTATAGATATATGTCTATTACAAACTGAAAAAACAACGATTTCAAAAAAACTACTGAACAAATGAAGCGAGCCACGAGAAATACTGTTGATAATGGATCTGTCCCAAGGCTGTATTTTTTACTGTAAATGTCAATGGGATTTTGAATGAGGTTTTCTTAATTCTGGGGCCGGTTTCATAAAGATACTTTGACCTTTGCTTAAATCAAACCTATAGTTAGACTTCAGATAGATGTCTAAATTCAACTTCTGATAGATACGTCAATCCGCTCAACTCTAATTACTTCAGCAGAAAATGAACTGTCTAAAATCTTGAATAGCGCTGACCCTGTTATCAAGACCCTAAACAGAGAAAAACAGCATATGCTCTTTCACTTTGGGTAAGCTGGAACCAGAGAATGTTTGGCACTCCAGCTTGATAAACTACTTGAAAAATTTACTGATTATTGAAATTATTGTTGAGTAATTTGTACTATAGGAGTACCAGAGTAGACAAATGATATGATTTAGCAGGAGCTGTAATAGACACATAGGCCTAAATGGAATTGGCGGTGACTCTACTCATGGGCAAACAGGGAGAAATGGACAAAGCCTGATTTTTCTGCTTGAACTCTGGCTGTACAGTTCAGTACATTCAGTGCCTGCCTTCCTGCCCACTGTCCCTCAGTGGCAGCTCAACACATCGAGAGCAGTCTTCTCTTTGGACCCTGCTGTGTCTCTGGCCAGTTCCGTAGCCCACTCATCTGTCCCAGTAGCCGAGCAGCAGCATCAGAATAACTGAGCTCGTTGTGCCTTGGCCGGTCATGAGCGACTGAGTGACTTTCCCCCGCAGCCTCAGTGCCATTATGTTTTATTGGAGGAGGCTGCTGATGAAAAGAGAGAGTCGGTTCTCCGTCTACGGCCAGGGGCTCCACAGCAAATCCTGCTGGGACCCTGTCGCCATGACTGCGCCGGGCGACGGGGAGAGAGCGGAGGAAGGAGGCCACAAAGTGAACGCAGACATGTGGAGCAGCCAAATGGCAATTTTCTGTTGGTAAAGAAGACTTAAATCACATGTTTCACTCACACACTGAGGTCAGCTCGAGTATTTTGGGACACCCTCACAGTTCTTATGCACAGATCCCCAAAATAGACACGCTGTAACCTACCACTGAAAAAAAACTGTTTTGTTTCTGTCAAAACATTTAAATACAACTGGTGATTTACTCACGCCCCGCTATAGTAAGAGCTGTTTTGAAACGGTACTTTCTGCCCTGCTGAATATAATTTTGAAGACAAGGGCACAGGTGTGTGTGTCATTCATAAATGTAAGAAAATAACACCACAGACTTAACTGGAAAGGAAGTGTCAACCCACATCTCTTATCATCCTGTTGTCCTCATCTTTTGTTTTTTCTCTTTCTTGTTTCCTCTGTTTTCTTCTGCTTTGTCTCTTTTTGTTATCTGTTTAAAGGCAGCGAGGTCAAAGCAGGCAGCACTTTGCTTCACTCTGCCATTCAGCTGTTAACACTGGGGGATTTTAAATGTAATTGTAAGTGGTGTGTGTGTGTGTGTGTGTGTGTGTGTGCGCGCGCGTGTGGTCAAGAGTGCAGCTGATGACATAATATCTGCACTGACAGTCTAATGACCATTGCGTTTGAGCATGATCATCTTCTTTGCCAAATAACAAGCTGCACACAAACTAATGAATATTTTTCATGATTGTTTCCCATCATGCCCTGCTTCACGTGTATTGATCTTGTGCAGAAAAAAAAATCAGCTCACTTTGATTTAATGTACCGTTCAGTCGGTTGAGACCGAATTCAACCAATAACAGGAAATTATTTTGTAATAGACCCTCTACATACACAAACCACCAGCAGCAGTAGAAACAGCAGCAGTATTTTCTACGTGGGTGTCTGCTGTTGCAGAACAAATAGTTGCATCACGTCGTCGAAGCCTGCTTGCAGTTGCAGCGTTATTACCGCTACGCTCCAGCAATCATTGAAGCCACAGAGACAGATTAAATTAGATTAGCAGGGCTGAGCTTTAAAGTCAAATCTGCAGCTAATGGGTTCTAACATATTTGGCAGCAGTGACAGCGTGTCTTTTGTAAATAAAGGGCAGTTAGGAGGCGTGCCATGCAGTTAACCCGGGCCCTCCTGCCACACAAAGACTCAATTGTGTAATTCTGCTGTCAGTCAAAGAGCTGGCAGCCACTGTAAAGTTTATGCAAGCCTGGTGGAGATATATCTGGGATATAAAAGTTGCCATGCAGTGTGTCAGAAATGTCCTTTATTGTTTAGTTTATGGTTTACTTTCTGTCCTCACAGTTGTAAAGTTTAGCACATATTCTGTTATTGAAGGCTCTCTCAATGAGACATCAGCTCAGTGCTAAAATGACTAAAGCACAACGTTGTCAATTATTTCAGAATGGGTTTGTTTTTCCAAAAGGGAGGGAAATCTTATACTTTGTACTCCACTGCATTTATTCGACAGCTAGTTACTTTTCTTATGTAGATTTTACATTTTAAAAATCGATACATCCATGATGATGGGATAAACCAGCGGTTACCTTTTTTGGCTTGTGACCCCTTACAAGCAGAGTGTATTCGGGACCCCATGGCTGTAAGTGTGTTCCCATCCGTTAATACTCATTTTGAATTTGCGCATAAAAAACCTGAGTGGAAACACTACACATTTTGAGAAAGTGTTGCAAGTTTACACTTGGCTGAGGTGGAAACGTGGCGCATTAATGAAAGCAAAATGTGACAGAGTGCTGTGGAAACAGTGAATAAGTCATGACGTACATGAAGCATGTGACTTTAATGTCCCTTGAAGCTCCTGCTCCACTGAAGAGACGGACAAACAGAGGTTTGACATGTGTTCCCACACACTACCCCGATGTGCCAACTGTAGTGGGTACAAACGCACATCAATTAGCATTCTCACCTGCCGTTTTTCTGGAAATTTGGTTTAAATTTGGATGGAAACTTGACTTATGGCTTGTTAGCCGTTCTGCCAAAGAGACAACTCCCCGCTTAACTTCTCACATAACATAAGGAGGAAAAAAGGAGCGTCTTTATACCCCATTCATTTTCTCAAGACCCTTCAGATTTATGTCATGACCCCTGTGTTGGGAACCAATGGACTGAACTAACTGTATACAAAAGTAGTTAAAGCAAGCTCATAGTGATAGTGACAATATATTAATCACAGGGGCTATTTTTGTGCAGAGTGATACTTTAAGTACATTTAACTGATGCTACTTCTGTACTTTTACTTAAGTAGGATTTTGGCCGCAGGACTATTACTTGTAAGGAAGTTCTTTGTACTTAGTTGTATTAGTACTTTATGCTGATTTGCCTGATTAGAATCACTGTCAATTCCATGTATGTGTCTATTAGATCTCGTGTCTTTGTTAAAAGATCCTCCGTGCTCTCTGAATTAGTTATGGAGCCTCGAAATGACAAAAGCCTGTAAAAGTCAACAGACAGGTCAACAAGATAACTGAATACATCAATAATTCAAACGTGTCATGTACGTACGGCAGGGATTGGTCCAGGGGTGGTTCTGTGTGTGTGTGTGTGTGTGTGTGTGTGTGTGTGTGTGTGAACATGCATGGACACACTTATCATATAAGCATGAGCAAATTAGAAAATGTTGTGGGGAAAATATATAGATAAATGATTAAATGTAACTTCTCCCTCTAAGTGTCTGACACACGGACACTTAGTTAGTTTTAAACTGGACATTATCATCTGGTTTGTGCAATAACACCTGCTTAAATAATTAATGTGCAATACTTTCTGCTGCTACTATTTATTCATTATTACTGTTCACCATAACATTTCCTGTAACTATGTAAATGTACATATCCACACAGTCCTTTATATTTTATTTTATTTTATTTTTATTTACTCTGATATTTTTATTTCTTTATATAACACTATCTTTATTTATATTCCTTTTGCCTTTGAGCAATGTGCGCAACTGTAACACAGAATTTCCCCTCGGGGATCAATAAAGTATTTCTGATTATGATTCTGAAAACCAAAGAAACAGCAAAAGGAAGGAAATGAAAAATAAAATGAGTCAAATTATACTTTTAATTTATTCTAGTCCCTTTTAATCATGTCCGATAGTCTTTTACTACCTTTAGTCTGTTTTGTGCGTCCATAAATGAGTACTGAGGCATGGATTCACTTTGTAAACTACTGGATGGCTTTGTTTTGTATTGATGTTATGTTTAGTATTTTATCCTGGCCTGTAAATAACTATGATTCTGTGCATGAAATGAAAAGTTAATCTTTTAACCAGATGACATTATCAGAGGGGGGTTTCCAAGCCTGCTTGTGATGCCCTACATTTGATAGCATCTCATTCACACCTGGAGAAGTGAACACATTGATTTCTACACCACCTGCCTGCTGAAGTGGCAGAAACAACTACAGAGCCACCACACAGATTTTGAAAGCTGGCAGCTTGTATGTTCTTTACAGCAACATGTTATTTACTAGTGGAAATATTGCGGTCATGTTGGCGACATGTTTCTGTGTCTAAAAGATGAGGGGTTTTTGCCCTTCTAAGTGGATTGGGTTAATTTATTTAAAAATATATTTATCACGCTCTTCTTCTCTATGTCGTATTTCACTGCTTATGTTTTATCGGCATGATAATAGGTCAAAAAAGCTGTACTAATAGAAGTTGACTCTGACAGTCACTTGGCGTCGTCCCAAAGCATTCTAGTAAAAATTAGCAAGGTCCATTTTTGCAAAGAAGTGTGAATGATGGCTGCTGGCACTTGCAGTTGATATTCATGTTTTATTGAAATGGACAATGAATAATTAAGTGCATCTGTGTCCCTGCAGGGCCTCTGTTGTGGCGGCACACAAAGCAATGTGGAGGAAATAAAAATCCTGATACGCTGAAAACCAGAGGTATGACTCCTCACACCCCACTGAACACAAACAAACTGTTGTTTACTTACATGCTCGTGCATGGCCCTGTGAGAACAACCTCAGATGGGTGGACTGCGAAACATGCTAACTCTGTAGTTTTTTTTGTCTTGTCTTTAAATGCATCATAAGGATAGAGGATCAAACACACACACATTCATTAAACTGCCAAAGATACCCACCAGCTGGCCACCACTAGCCAGAGGCCAGCCTGCTGCCCCACTGTGGTGCATTAGCGTGAACTGTGTGTTCTATACTGGGCAGCATGTGTACAGTTCCCTCATAATAGGAACTATGGCAAATGCAGCTACACATACCTGTTATCACTAGAGCAGTTCTGTTGCTGCCATCTTTAATCTGCATTGCAGCAGTAAGGTTAATGAGAGGTCAGCCAGTACACCCTGATCTGTTATTTTTCAACAGATGAAAGATGTTTCCTTATCCGAGTGTAAGTGTGCCGGCCGGGTCCCTGCTAGGTTAGAGTGGAACAAGATGGCACAGATTAGTTATCAACAGCTAGCAGAAATGTGTGCTTTGCCCCCTTCAAGTCGGAGTTGCAGCTGGACTGTTCACAAACCCACAATGGGACGGAGTCCAAGAACATTTTGTAAAAATGTTGTAATTTTATAAAATGAGCGCAATGTTGTACTTTGGGATTGAAATAAAGCTGTGAACTGGTAGCATACGTCGACTGTGATAGAGTGTTAGGAACATAATGTAGAGCATAGACCAGACATGTCTTGTCTTTGCTAGGTCACCAGATGATTTAAGGGATCAGAGATTAAGATTATTTTTTCAGACTATTCTCCTATTCTTGCTTCATACTGGATACTTTTATTTTTTCAGGCCTCTGAAAATACTGTGGACATCTGATATAGAACAACTCCTTTTTGGTTGAATTGCTCACAACTCATGTCCATAGCCTGTGATGAGGACTCACAAGCAGACTTTCCTGTTTTAATGTTGAACCAAAAGGTTCGAAACCACTGCTCTACTGCACAGTTCAGGAAGAACACACATGCCACCATCCCTAGTCTTGACTGAGCTGAAAGCTCTGGGTCTGAAAAGTGTCTCCACCACCATCATCAATTTTCGTCTGGAAAATTCAATTTATTGATGGATAGGCCCTTGACATGCAGCATCTCGTTTTCAAGAGGTTCCAAATACACATATACATAATACAACAGGAAAAACACAAAAAAACAAACAACAAATGCTCAAAACAATTGAGTTACGAGGCAGCTTACACCCTCACCCCAGACCGAAGACACATCATAACTCAGACATGTTATAGCTAGCTCAATAAGTAGGAGTGGGAGAAATACTCGATTCTTAGATGCATCGCGGACGTGGAAGATTAGGAATCGATTGTCTAAAAATCAATTATTTAAGTGTTAATTGATAACGTAATGTTGACGGAACGCAAAAGGCGGAACTCGCTGGAAGTGCAGCGCCCGGACACGACAAAGAGACCAGTGTTCCCGTGTATTCGTCACTCCACCGCTGCGGAATGAATAACCACCCTACTTAAATGTCACACAATCATTAATATCAGTGCGCAAGTAATAATTTTAACTGGCACACTGCGAGCATGGTAACACTCGACGCTTGGCAGCTCCCTGTTTATCCTGTGTGAGTAATATTAATTATCAGCTGTATGTCATTACTAACTGAGAACATCAGGTACAAGCTTAGACTAAACTGGTGTACAGCTCTGTCCTGTATACGTACTGAACATCCTGATAATTATATTTCAGTTTTCAGGAGTCTGACAACTGGTTGTTGAAGAAATGACGGACCATGGAGATGAGGTTAATAAAGTAAATTAGGGATGCAAACTAGTCCTTTTAAGCTAATTAGGAGATGTTTCTTTTGGATTTTAATGCACAAATTAAATGCTTAGTAATTATCCAGGGATCCTGTCTAGAAAAAATGATGCATCAGGATGCATCGATAGTCGTTTTATTATCGAATCGCAGCCCTCTGAATCGTAATCGAATCGTGAGGTGCCCAGAGATGAACTCTGAATCAGGAGGTGCGCAGGGAGTGTTTGATTGTCCGAGCGGCAGAAAGTGACGCTGAACGCGAGCGGAGGAAAATATTCTGGCAGTAAATGTACGGTGTCTGTTACAGAGTGTCGGCTTCTCAAGACCAAGAAAAGTCTGTTGTTTCCCACCTGCTGGAAAAGTGAAGCCGGTTAGCGCTAAGTTAGCTAACATCTCCCCTGCAAACTGTGCAGCTGAGCAGCTTCTACAGCAGCTACAGAGCTGCTGTGTAACTTAACATTAGCTCAATTTATAGAAAGTAACTGGAAGCTGTACTTTATTACTGCCTACTTGTCCAGTGTTGAGAACATCAGGTACAAACTGAGAGTAAACTGACGTAGCCTGCAGCTCTGTCCTCTACAGACTGATTCAATTATTTTTCAGTTTTCAGTCTGAAAAAGTGGTTTTGGAAAAGAAAGGACAGAGGTGACCGGAGGAGCTGAGGTTAGTAAAGCTAATTAGTGATGCAAACTCGTCCTTTTAAGCTGATGAGGAGACGTTTCTTTTTGGATTTTAATGTGCAAATAAAATGCACCTCAGAAGGGAGGAGGTTTCTCATGTTGCACACAAAAGGCAAACATGAACAATCGTATCTAGAATGATTCTGAGGTCATATTAACAGGGTTTAAGGGGGTGATGTCCAAAACATGCTGTGCAATAAATGTTAAATCACTGTGGAGCAACACAACCAACCAAATTACTTTCTCCAGGTCTAAAGGTTGTAGTTCCTCCAGCAGACTGATCTTTGAATGTTGTTTATTTATTATCTGCTCTGGCTTTTCCAATTCTTTGTTCAGAGATATGGTGAAAATAATGGCCCAATATGATGTGAAATTACATATTTTTCATTGGAAAACATAAAATTTTCTTGGGGGACACCCCCAAACCCCCCGACCACCACCAAAACATTAATCTAAAGCTCACATTAAACTGGGAAAACACTGCAGTTTTAAGCTCTTCTAAGGTGCATCTCATGCTCATGGACACAAGAGCAATGTTGCGTTGGTGTTTTTATATTCAGACAAAAATTTAGCTTCACCTCCCCTGCTACAACTCCATCGTAGGGGAAACACCGAAGTTTATTTGTTTTGTGAAGTGTGATTATTTCTTGGTTGGGGTTGCTGTTTGTCCTGCATCCGTTGCTGAAAAAAATCCTAGAGGAAACACTAATAATACATAAGAGATTCAATGCGAAAAGGTATCACATAGAAAGACAGAATCCACAGGAGTCATCAAAAACCAAGGTAATTGAAGAAGAAGCATGATGTTCATCCCTCCAGTAGAGTTCCAGAGACTGGACTATTAGGCATTCTGGAGGCTCAGAGTAGCCCAAGAACTTGAAGACATGAGCGTGGAGATTAACAAGTAATTAGGTTAATAATCAAGTGAACCTTTAGTTAAGAACTTGATAAGAAACATAATGCTTGTTATTTCTCCCATTTATCACCCATTTATTTTAAAAACTAGAATTGAAACACAAAACCTGTTTCTGCCAAACAGCTGGCAGCCAGACCTCGTCATATTTTCCCAAACAATTTCTGTGAGGCACAGTCAAGAACCATCTGTTCTACACAGCAGCTATTTGTTAGCTTCACTTGTTCTGCGACTATTTTGATGTCAAAGAGATGTCCATGTCTGGTCTAGTCAGAGGCTTTTCAGTCTGGAGCTTCCTCTTCTTGAGCGTGAGCGGAGCTTCCTACATCCCGAGCCCAGCCTGCTGACAAAGGAGACACATTGTAAAAACCCCAGCCGAGCAACCGACAAACAGCTATAAAAGGAGAGGAGGTAGAATTCATCAATGGGTTAGTGGAAACAAGCTGAACAAGGGATTCTTCCAGAAAACTGGAGTCAGCTGAGTATCCCACATTCATAGCAAGTGTATTCATTATGCAGGCTCAGTCATCACTGTCGCTAATAGCTGCTTTATTATGTGTGCTCCAGTTTCCTATGGTGTTTCTGCGTGTCTCGCTGCTCGGAGATGGAGCCAGCAGAGCGGGCTCATTGCAGAGCGGATTTACAGTTTAGCGCGTGACTCAGCTTTTTTTTGGAAGAGCTTCTCGCCGTGTGAGGCGGCGGTGACATGGATGACATGCCACAGAAGGTATCAGAAGAAGCTCTGCAGAGCTAGCACATCAAGAGCCGCCTTACTGTAGGAACATGGAGCAGATGTGTGTGTGTGTGTGTGTAAGAGTGAGAGTGTGTGTGTGCTCCAGCGCTCTTGCTGGGTGGGTGGTATTGTAGGCTGGTGAGAAACAGAAAATGAGTCACCGATTCCGATCATGTTTTCATGCTTCCACTTATCTCTGCCTCTTTGAGAGCTTCTGCATTGTGCAGACAGAAGGACTAAACAGCACAGTAGTAATTATCCTCACATTATCCGAGACTCTGATATCCATTGCTGGCGTCATGTGCCGCCATGAGACAAACACTTGCGTTCGCCTTTTGCCTCCTCGCAGCTCCCAAGCGGACTGTTCGCCCTCGCCTCCTCTCAGCTTGTTACCTCCACGATAATGGCTGATGCCAGTGTGGGCTGTGCAACTATTCACTGAAATGTCATCGTTGCCCTGAAGACTGTGGCTCCATTGTGGCTCCCAGTATGTCTAATGGTGAAGAGAGTGGGTAGAAGTGGTATCACTGAAGAACCTGTTGAAGCTTCACTCCATGATATTGACACATCTGGTGTAGGGTTGCACGACATTGACAAATTGTGATCTTGCGATATTAATCATGTATATTGTGATAATGCCATTAATTTTGATAAACGTGTAAAAACAGGCCCTGTTTCTGATATGTTCCCTCTTCGTTGTTTCGTTGAGCCACTTTTCCGTCCTTTCGCTCCTATGACTTTCCTCACTTTTCTTTTTTCTTTTTATGACTTTTTTTTTCTTTTTTCCACGTAATTAAGTGATCTGTTCAGGATCTAGGCTGCAAACTGTG